TTAGTCTGGGTGTCTCAGAGAAATGGTGGACTTTATCTTCTAGAGCTACCAAGAAGTCATATCACAATCACTCTCCCACATTTGCGTGGCTGCTTTAATACATGGAAATAGTCTGTATCAGGCAGGTAAGCCAAGCCCACAGCCATTATGGCAGCCCAGCATGAAAATATTCTTTATCTTTCTTGTTTCTGTTGAACAAAAACATTAACTTTATGTGATCCTGAAAACAGTCAATACCCTTTGGAGGTTCACCTGTTCTGTCTCCAGACCAGCACATCTCTGGGGGAGAGTCAAGTTGAAGTCCTATTCCAAATCCTTTTATAGATAACTGTTACAACAGTACCATGTAAAAGGAGTATCTAAGGATCTCAACAGAGCTCCCCTCAGGCACGGGACACTGCACAGAGGTTGAGAGACTGAGCTTGCCCTAAAGAGTAGACAGTCTCAGTTGTAAGATGAACGAGGTGCAACAGCAGGGAATTGACGGATTTATACCACAGTCCAGTGACTGAGCCAGAGACAGTCGTGTTCCCGTAACAGTCAGTTTTATCACAGAGGTCAATAGAGCCCTGATCTCACCGGGATGGGAGGAGTGGGCCAGCCTGTGTAGCCCTGACTGTACCAGCTAATATGGGAGCATCGGTCACGCTGCTCGGTGTGCCCGCCGTCCCCTTGAAAGCTCCACACCACGGAGCGAGCTGACTGCTCTCTGCCTCCTGCGCTGCACAGATTGAGAGACAAGCTTCAGGGACTGTCTCCAGAAGTCCTAATCTTTAGGGATCAGGCATGAGTACTTTCCTGTAGGCATATGCAAAATATGCATTCCTTCTAACCCACTTCCCACGAGTGTCCAGAAGACCTGCTGTAAATGATATGGAATCGTAAGGACCAGGGAGCACCAGCAGAACAGTTCCAAAGCGTGCAGAGGATTGTTCTCCCTCTACATTTCCTAACCAGCCAGTAATATCACTAATATAAATTATTTGCTGTATTATGGTGTTAGAATACGTAGCCGCTTTGAAGATTTATGCTGCTGTTACCACCTACACACACTCTCTCTTACGAATTATTGCCAATTGCTTTATAGCAAATAACTGAATTAACCCTGTCTGTGTACCAGCAGATAACCCGCAAAATAAGGTGCTTAGGAACCAACTCTTATGTTGCTAGTGAATGCATCCAACCCTAAAGAAGATGAAGGGTGAAAGGAGTACATGAATGGAAAGTTAGACCAGCACCATCTTCTTTAGAAGCTAAATATGTATATGTGTACAGACACATGTGCACTCAAACATGGACTGCAAGAAACGGTGCCAGGCAGTATTATATATAATCCTGGTTTTTAGACATTTATACTCATTACATCAATAATATTAAATGTCAGTTTTATACTTTAAATAAGTAATTGGATTACCAAAATATGTCCACAGCATTAAAATGCATCAATCATCCTACTACCAGCTATCCTAGCTGCAGTCAGTTTTATTTTTTGAAAAGTCAAGCACTAATTGCTTCTGGTTGTAAAAATGTTGACAGTATCTCAGAGGGGCAAAGTTTAGTAGGCAAGCATACCAAAGAAGATTATTTTATCAGAGAGCATACTTACAATGTAGAAATCAGTTTTATAAAGGAGTTGGTTCTTTAAACTAATTTTGGATATAGTCTACCACAACTCTACTTTCTTCCCAGCTAGCGCACGCAAACCACTGAGGCCCCGGTGCCTTTTTCATTCTGAAAATGAAATTTCATTTCATCATTGCCTTTTTTTTTCATTCTGAAAATCCCGTTTTCTCACGATAGGCTCGTTGCTTTCCAGCTTCTCTAGCGGAATAACCGAGCTGCACCGTGCCCCCCCTCCCCGCCCTGCCCCGACTCACACGCACCAAGAGAGACGGAACACCGACACCCTGCGCTCTCGGCCGCTAGCCAGTGCCCCTGGTAGGCTCGTCTTTATCCCTGAAGGACCAGCAACTCCGAAGCCGAGGAGTTGTCCCCATAGCCAAAAGATGATAGAGATCTCGGGCAAAATTAACATAACCATTGACAGTCCATGAGAGCTCACTAAATAGCAGCTTGGGAAGCATCCTCCCCTCCAGAGAGCGAGGGTAGCAGAACAGACACCAGAAGATAATGCTCGAACAGGCTCTACTATGCTTTAATCTTCAAAAGCTACCATTAGTAAGCCAGAGAAGTATATTTACCCACAAGATAAACACCACAAGTTCGCTAGGCTACTATCCATTAAGCACTGAAATAACTCCTCTGTCTTTTAACTTTCAGAGGGGAGCGAGGCGAAGCGCCGCAGCGCTCCCGGCTCTCCCCGCCGCCGCTCCCCGCTTCCTACCGGGGGCGAAGCGGGGGACACACACACCGCCGGGGTGCGGCAAGCCCGGCCGGGGGTGGCACGGTTTGGGGGGGGGGGGGGGGGGGGGGCCGGGCCCGGGCAGCCTCTCCCCGGGGAGGCAGCCGGCTCCGTCCCGCCGCAGTGATGGAGAGAGGGAGGGAGGGAGGGAGGGAGGGAGGGAGGGAGGGAGGGAGGGAGGGAGGGAGGGAGGGAGGGAGGGAGGGAGGGAGGGAGGGAGGGAGGGAGGGAGGGGCGCCTTGGTTTGGGGCTCCGCTTTGTTGGGCTTCACCTCCTGATCCCTTTCCCTTCTGCTCTGCTGGGCTGCAATAGCCACCTCGGCGGCGGCTCCGCGGGCCCAGCTCCCAGTGACCTGCCGCTGGGGGGGTGAACTGGGGATGGCGCAGGGAAAGGCGAGGGAGCATTATTTATCCGCAACAACTTCTCATTGTCGCGGGGCAGCGCTCAAAAGATCCCCAAAGCAGTTCGCTCTAAATAAAGCAGGCATTGCTTCCCTTGTATTTCCCCTCAGCAGTCGCCTTAGTATTATTATTATACTTCTATAGCTTTTGCTTTCGGACCTTATAATTATGTCACACAGCAAGGGAAACCGCGAGCATCCCAGCATCTGGTGTGCGGTTTAAAACTTTTGTTTCAAGATTTGAACTATTTATAGAAGGAAAACTTTGTAGGATAGTAATTTCCTACGGTTTTGAGAAAAATATGGCTACGCTTATATTAAAAGGGTGTATTTATTTATTTATTACGACTCCTTTCTCCTGGTTTGTTTTTTTTTTAAAAAAAAAAAAAAAAAAAAAAGATGTCACTGCTTTTTTTTTTTTTTTTTTTTAACAAGTTATTGGTCACCTACCAGCAGACATATCCCGCCTGTGAACAGAAACAGGCAGCTCTGGCTATCTGGTTTAATCAATATCATCCAACCGAATTAAACCTAACGTGCTCCCATAAATCAAACGCCTTTAAAAATCGGTAGCCAAGGCATGAGCATTACATTAAGAATTAAGAATGTAGAAATAGGCGTTTAGTTTCTTTTTATGAGTGTGTTTATTCCTGCTTTTCTTCCACAGCGGTGGGTCCTATTTTTCCATAGCCCTCAGAAAATACACATACGCACTCCCGGAGGAACACACGCACACGTGCTTGTTTATGTTCATGTGCTCCCGTGCACGCACACAGAATAAAAATTAAGATGCATAGATATCTAAATCCACAGACAGTTCAGGGGTCGGAGCTGAAATTTTGCTCCCTCCAGGGTGCAAAAAAGTCCGAGCTCGGCACGAGGAGGGGGGAAAGAGACGGGACACCCGCCCGGACCCGGCCGCCGAGGGGAATGCGAGGCCGGGGCCACCGAGGCGGGTGTCCCCACCGCCGCCCGGGCCGGGGTCAGCCCCTCGGCCGCGGGCCGGACCCGAAGCGCCCCCTGCGCTCCCCGGAGCTCCCCCCGGGCCCGATCCCCGAGTCAGGGGCTCGGCGGGTCACGCCGTGCCCCGGAGCTGGCGGGATGCTCAGGGGAAGGAGAAGGGTCCCCGTTTTAAACGGGCTCTACCGACCGGGGGACCTGCCGTCCCCCCCCCCCGCCAGCGCCCTCCTCTCCCCACGGCTGCCCCACAGCGTCTCGCCCGGAGCGAGGGAGAGCAGAAGCCCCGGACAGCCGCCCGGTAGCCCCTCCGGGCCCCGGCGTGCAGCCCCGGCCGGGCCCGGCTCCCCCCGGCCCCGCGGGGACCCCGGCCCGCCACCCCCGGCGGGGACAGAGACCTGCCGGGGGACCCGCGGGAGCACGGCGGCGGACACCCTCTCCTCAGCCCGCACGGACTAGCCCAGCCGCTACTCATCCACCGCAACGTTAGATACAGATATAGATATTAAAAAAAAAAAAAAAAAAAAAAAAAAAAAGAGAGAGAGAGACCGAAACTCCTTGCAGTCCCACCCACCGACTCTCATTTCCCCCACCCCTACCTCCACCCCCTTCCTCACAAGGAAAAGGTCCTGGAGCCAGCTCTAACTGCGGGACTGGAGATCCCTCCGGAGCAAAAGCAGCCGGGCTAGCAAGCGCCTCCGCGGCCGGGGGCTCTCCCCGGGCTGGGCGCCGGCCGCAACACAGCCCCCCCCGCTCCTCGGGACCTCCGCGCAGACACGCTCTTCCCGCGGCGAGCGCGAAGCGGTGCCTGTCTCCGCTTTGGCAGGAGGAGGAGTCGGGGTCGGAGTCCCCAGGGGAGCCACCGGCCGCTCCGTGCCCCCCTCGCCCCGCCGCCCTCCAAGGTGCGCCGCCCCCCGCTGCGGGCACGCCGGGCCCCGGCCCCTCCGGCCGGGCAGCCCCGGGAGTTACCTGGCGGGGGGTGTGTGCCTTCCCCCGGCAGCGTCCCAGCAGCAGCGCCAAGCACCACCGCCACCAGCACAGCACAGCACCGCCACCAGCACAGCACAGCACCGCCGCCGCCACCAGCACCGCCGCCGCCGCCGGCCTCACCACCACGCACCGCACGGAGCTGCCGCCCGTGCTTGGCTTCTCCCGGCTCCCTCTGCTCGCTTTGCGCATTGCCCCCTAGGTAGCTGCTAGCGGGGTCATTTCAAACAGTATTTTGAAACAAAAAAAAAAAAAAAAAAAAAAAAAAAAAAAAAAAATTTCTGGATCACTTACAGGTAACTCCCACTGGTAAGGATGAGGAAAATCTGAGGGTAATACACTGAGAGTAACACACTGCGAGATGAAAAAAGGATCATGGCTGAATCCCGTTTACACTCTTGGAGTTCGCTTCCTTGGTTATTCCTTTCTGGCCCCCCCTGGTCGTAATTCCCCACCCTTTTTGGTGTCAGCTGTGGCTTGAATCTGAGTTGGAATCCAGTCCCTTGGGCTTGGGGGGGCTTTGTCTGTTTGTTTGTTTGTTTGTTTGTATTGTTGTGTCTAGTATTCCCCTGGTGCTAATGCTGCTCCCTGTGCAGAGTATGTGCTGCTGCTGCTGCTCTCGCTGCTGCTGCTGCCTCTGGGCTCCTGCCTGTCATGTCTCAGTGGTTGGAAGTTGTTACAGTGGGTTCTCGTGTTGGAATGAGGATGGTTTAAGGGATTTGGATGGCAGAAAGTGCCTCTCTCTCTCTCTCTCTCCCTCTCTCTGTAACTCTCCTGAGACTCGGGGCTGCCATTGGGCAGTCAGTCACTGCAATCCGCCTACTTTTTTCTCTCCCTTTCCCCCTCTCTCTCTTTTTTTTTTTTTTTTTTTTTTTTTTTTTTTTTTTTTAAGGGGATGATGACAATGGAGAGACACATATCTAGCCCGGGCTGCAATGAATCCGCGCTCCCTGCCCGAGCCCGCTCCGCACTGCTCCGAGCCCCCTTCACGGGCCAGTTTTCAAGCTCTCTCCGGGCGCTCGGCCGGCTCCCTGCCTCTGCCGTGGCACCCTTTCAGCTCGCCTTGGGAGAGATCCTGAAGAGGCTGGCAGCTCCCAGCTCCGCTCTCGGTTAATTGCTTTATTATGGGCGGCTGCCCCAGTTCCCCCAAAGGGCTCCGCCGTTCCTCCAGCCTCGGCAGGGGCTTGGTTCTTGCTGTCCTGTCCCCGCTGTCGAAAATTAAGCTCCGGTTTCAGGGGGATCTTTCCAAAAAAAAAAAAAGGCGTATATGTTGTCGTAGCCTGCCTGAGTGAGAAATAAAGACATGCACACCCGTAGCTTCCTGGCGAGATTGGATTTCGCCTGAGAGGAGGGGAGGGAAGGGACTGGTGCGAAACAGCCGGTGTAGGGGAGCGAGCGGGGGGCGTCTGCCGGCGGCCCCCGGCTCCCCGCACCCCTCGCCGCTCCCGCAGGAAGAGCTGTCGTCTCCTCTCTTCCCTCTCCCCCTCTCCTTCCTGAGAAGATATCGGTCCGAAGAGACGTTTCCCGGCAGGTCAGTTGCCTCTCCCCTGCCTTTCCCCCGAGCCGGGCGGCTCCTGCCCCCCCCTCGGCACCGCCGCGCCCCGGGGCGAGGGGATGCGAGGGGATGCGAGGGGATGCGAGGGGATGCTCGACCCTTCCTGCTCCGGCGGGCGGGAGCCCTTAGCCCCGCGTAGCCCCAACCGCGCAGGAGACAGTCGGTCTTCCTCTTTGCCTCGTTGGGGGGTTGTCCTTTTTTTCGGAGGGAAAAAAAAAAAAAAAAAAAAAAAAAAAAAAAAACCACTAAAAAGCAAATAGCGGTGGGAGAGATGGGGGGAAGACGTGCGCTGCGGATGCCGGGATTAGGGTTTGAAAACGAACCCCGAAAGAGAAACGTGCACCGCAGATAATTTACCACAGATGCAGACGAAATGAGCAAGGACCAGGATCCGAAGTCTCCTGGATCCGTAGGGTTTGGAAATGTTCGTCTCAGGTTAATTGCCTAATGACTGAAGGAGTTTCCTTGGCCAAGAGCTCTTCCAAACACCCTGGGAACACCTCCTCCAGTTAACCAGTCCCAGCACATGGGTGCAGCTCTCTCCGTGACACAACGAAATATTCCTTTAGATGGCATGGGAATTGCAGAATTGGGGTAAAAATGTTGTCTGCCGCCCAATAAGCAATAAAAATCTTCTCGGGGTTTGGTTTCATTTAAGCACTTCCATCTACAAGTTCAGTACAGACTCTGGGACAGTCACCATCCTTTCGCGAAACGCTAATCTCGATTAACAAGGAACTGAAGTTTAAGCCTTTCAACGATTACTTACATCCCAGAACAGTCTTATTTATAATTCTTTAAGATCCTAAAATCGTCGTATTTATACTTCTGTGTGTGTATGTCTATATATAGAGAGAGACATATAGATGCATATCTCCTGTAATGCCCGTTCTCCCTCTCAGACATGCAGGCTGTGGTTGGGGCAGCTGTGCTGAACGTGAAATAGGAGAACGGGTAGCGACTTTTGATCTTTTATTTCTAGCATTTGTTCGGCTTTGTATATATTTTTAAATGTGCATCTGCTTTTAAAGATGTGCCCGAGGGGGGAAAACAAATAAAAAAAAATAAAAATAAATAATAAAAAAAAGGTGAATGGTAAAAATGCAAAGTAAATGATGCTGGCGCTGGGAAACTGAGAACTGGTGCTGGCAGAGTTTGAGCCAGTCCAGCTGAAACGAAGACGGTTTACCAATCTCCACAGTTTTCGATCAAAGCTGGTTTTATCCACAGCTTAGCTGTGTCGTGAAAGGAAACTTGTATAAAAATAAGCTAAGTCGCGCCGTTTCTTTTCGAAAAGTGAAATTTTACTCTAAAAACACGGGCCGGTTATTATGTCGGAAAATTAATAAAAATGATGATGGTAACGATAACCTGCTAAATTCCATTCAAATGGTTTCTACACGTATGGGAGCCGGAGGTAGCGAGAAGTGCACTTGTTTTGTTGATTGAAGCTGGATATATTCCCTTCAATAAAATGATGTGGCACAGGAGGAGAGGGTATTGTCTGTAACACCTAATATGGGCATTTCAGCATCTGTCGTTCCTTCTTCCACAAACACGTGTATTTTGGACAACATAGGGGCAGAACGGCACTGAAATGGTTGCTGACACCATAGTCGGGCAGATGAAGCAGAGCAGATACAAATAAAGTTTTTGTTTGTTGGTTGGTTTGGCTTTTTGTTTGTTGTTTTTTTTTTTTTGTTGTTTGTTTTTGTTTTTGTTTTTGTTTTTTACCCCCCCTCCTTTTATCTGTCTATTTCCAGCTGCAATTTCTTTCTTACCCCAAGCCTGGAGCGTGGCTGGCACAAGAGCACGTCGGAAGCCGCTGAGAGCTTCGAAGGTAGCCCCGGCAGGCACCGCACCGGGCTCCTCTCTGGTCGGAACCGGGTGTTTCTCGTATCTCACCGAGCTGCAAGTCTAGTGCCAGGGAAAAGAAGCGGGGGAACGATGAGTCTTTTAAAATGAGGGGGTGCCTGCTTGGCGGGGAGGGGAGGACAACGGAGGGTGCCCGTGGAGGGGCCGGGGAGCGTGTCGTCCCGCCGTGGGGGTGGTGCCGCGGCCGCACCGCCCGGGGCCCCGAGCGTAAATCCCGCGGGCTTCCTCCCCGGGGGCCCCGCGGCCTCGCCGGGACTCCCGGCGCTGAGGCGTGGTGCCCGCCGTCGGGGCTGCGCCCCAGCCGCTGCCTCCGCCGGCCCGGGGGGGGGGGCCTGGCCGGGCGCCCGGGCCCCCCGCGGCCGGGCAGCCCCCGGGGGGGGGGAAGAGGGGAGCAGGATTTCGTTGGCGTTTGCTGCAAACGCCGCAAAACCAGGGCGAGCTTCGCCCTAGGGGCGAAGACGGGAGACGGAGCGACGCGCTCCGGCCTCACCGGAAAGGACCGGGGGGGCGGGAGCGGAGCCCCCCGCCCCGCAGCCCTGTGCGCCCCCACCGCCGCTCGGCTTTGCCGCGGGGCCACGGAGGAAGCGTCCCCGCCGCCCCCCGAAGGGGTGCGGGCGCCTTTCGTTGCTCCCTTGGGCAGCGCCAGCTCCCACTGCCTGCGTCCCTCGAACCCCGCCTTGACCTCCTCCCCGCGGGAGCTGAGGGGGGGATGTCCTCTGCGGTCCCTTCGGCGCTGCCCCGGCTGCCCCTCTTCTTCCCCTCCCGAAAAGATGAGGGAAAGGGTGCGGGTTTGCCCCCCCGGAGCCTGGATCCGGGCAGTGCCCGCGGCTCCGTCTTTCCGAAGGTCACACCCCTCGTCCCCAGATCATCCGCTGCGATTTGCATCTGTGGTACAGCTGTGATTTTTAACTTCCGACGTATTTATTAATTAAACTGTAGCCGAGTGCTCTGCGACCTTCGCAGGAAATATTTCTGTTTCACTCCTGCTGCTAGCCGAGGTCAGTATTTGATGTGATCTATTTTCGCGAGGGTATACGTGGAGTCAGCAGGGGTGCGGGCGCTTTGCGCTTGCTTCGGTGCCTGGACGGGAACGTCATCGACAGAAATATCAAGGGATGCTTCACCTCACGCCTCTCTCTCTCTCTCTCTCTCTCTCTCTCTCTCCCCCTCCAGCGAACTCCGGGATAGGAAATAGAAGTGGGAACAACAGGAATCCCCTGGGAGGAAGAACTACCTGAGCGGGATCTTGCTCTCTCGTCCTCACTGGACATAGCGGCTTCTTTACGGTACCCTGCCAGGCCACCCCATGGGACACCCTCCGCCCCGTCCAACAGCTGGGGGAATACTTATGTATTGCGTTATTTTCTCTCCCCTCGGTCTCATCTTTGCCACTGAAAGTGGAGCTTTTAGCACGTTTTATTAACACATGAACACGTGCTCCGCAGCAAAGGGGGGCGGAGGGGGGGAGGGGGAAGCGGAGAGGGGGGAAGCAAAAAAAAAAAAAAAAGAACCTGCCAAGTGTAACCTCTTTGCTACCGCTGACACAATGGCTCCCTCCTTCACGCTGCAAAATAAATCTAATGCACTGGAAGACAAACTACATTTTATCTGCCTTCATCTCCCCCCCTTTTTCTATGCAAAAAGTTCACTAGAAAAGGTATCATTACACTCAAAGGATATGGTTTCAACAGAATGGTAGTTCCAGTGGCTGATGAAAGAGGAAATAATTGCATCCCACATGCCTATCCTAGAAGTAGCCCTGGATCTCAGGGCAAATTTCTCTCCTATTGTTCAAAGTGAAGTATCCTCATCGCCTTACAGGCACGGTGATGGATCTGATAGGGTTTCTGTAAGGGCTTTTACTGTTCCTGCCGTCCACTCAGTTTTACTTCCAGGCTCAGCCCAACAACATTCTTGTGATTTTTGCTCTGAATCCCCTTGTAAAACAGCCACAATCAATTTCGAAGAGAAATCTGCCTTCCAGACTGTAACATGTGCTTACTTTTCTGTTCCCTTTAAAAAGAAAACCGCAGTGAAAGCGAATAGCAATACCAGTACCCTTATTTTGCAAAGCGTTTTCTTTGAGCTCGCCTGCCTCTCTGTGAGGGATGTGTTGTACGAAGTCCTCTGGCTACTGAAGCAGACGGGGTGCCCCCGTCACGGCTTCATTTACGGACACACAGACTCACCAAAGACGCTTCTCACCTAAACCCCTGTCAATCTGAGCCCGGAGGACGACCGAGCCCATCGCTGCCGGCCACAGCTACGACGAAGGGCGGCGCAGGTACTTCGCCCCGCAGAGGTTAGAGCACCGAAAACACGCTCCTGCCTCCCGCAGGCAGGATTTGGGGCTACCCCCGGGCATGTGCTCCGGCCGGGGTAGCGGGGGAC